TGAAAAGTATCTCAGGCTTGTTTGTGTGAATGCAGCAAAAATTGTAAGCATTCTGACCACGCCAGATGCACTGATGATCGCTGTCGTAATGGTCGCAATACTGAAACGACCGCAGAATCGATGCACTTCTTTGCAGGTGTGAAGACTTAGTGAGTTCCGCGTGCAACAAAGCTGTACCCGTCTGTCAGGAGAGGGGTAGAAACAAATCGGCATCAACAAAATGAATAAGGTCAAGATCGACAAATAGGGATCAAACACAAAAATACTGGAATTCGTAGTAAAGCTCAATAGTTGTAGCCTCCGAGCAGGGATCACAAAAATATTGGAGCCTGAGCCCGAGGAAGAACGAGAGAAAGAAAGAAAGATACAAGATGTTTCAATTTCCTCTTCACTTACTCATCATTTTCATGATTTTCACATTTTCTTCATTTTGTCATATTGTCCGTCCTTTGCCATCATTTTTCATAAGTCGTCATCTTTTTCAGCATTCTCGTCATTGTTGATCATGTTCATCCCGTCTCATCATCAATCGCATCACAATGCCAGACCAGAAGCAGCAGAAGAAAGCACATGTTGTAATCTCTGTCCAGGTTTTGCGAGTGGGGGGCCGCGCCGCCCAACCCGGCATAGGCATCAACAAAGAATTTGATAAGGCATCAAACAGAATTTTCAAGATGAACAAATTATTTGAGCCGCAGGCCACTGGCTTCTTGGCTTTTCAGCCCACTATTATTCTTGTCCGTATTCGTACTACGACTATGACTCTTCCCCCTCCTCTTTCTTCTTGCTAATTCAAAGTCTTCTGGCCTTCAATTTTTTCTTGATCCTTGTCAAACTATTTTTCGATGCCGTGCGCAAACATTCAATGTTTTATTGTTGTTGTTGTTGCCAATTTGTTTGGATGATTATCAAACTTTTTGCGTCACCCGCCCAATCCATCATCTTTATTTCACATTTTTCGTTACTGTCAGATAAGTTTTTGGAACAATTTTTATTGTTTTTTGTTTTATCATTCTCGTCATTCTTGATCATGTTTCTCCCCATGTCATCAATAATCACATCACATTGCCAGATCAAAAGCGGCGGAAGAAAGCACCCGTTGAAATCTTTGTCAAGGTTTTGCAATTGGGGGGCTGCAGCCCCACCCAAATCCCCCCCCCCCCCGCTGTCATTTCGCAAAGTGCATTCTCGCGATCATCTGTCATCAGGTGCCTCTTTCTTACCATGATTGTTCATCAGCTTCCCCTCTCTCCGTCATTTTTCATAATTCTTTATCATGTTCATTGTCTCTCATGGTGTTTCATGTTTTTTCATGGTTGTTATGCTTGTTCATGATTTTCATCATTTCATCATATTCTCATCACTCTTAATTAGTAAGTTTCCCTGCTTGTTCATCATGTTTCATCATTTTCACGCTTTGACATCAGCTGTTTATTTCCATTGTTTTCATGGTTTTCCATCATTTTTTGGTCGTTTTCATGATGTTTCATCATTTTCGGAGCTTGTCGTCACATATTCAATTACCTTCCATAATTTTCCATTATGTTTTAGCATTTTCATGATATTTTATGATTTTCCATGGCTGTGCCTCATTCTTCATCACTTTCAGTCATGTTTTTACGTGGTGTTTCATCATTTTCATGTTTGCATAAACTTCGTTTTTTTTTTTTTTAATGGCTGTTTGTGGTTCCCCGTCGTTTTTTTTCAATAATGTTCATGTTTGTGATCAGGCTTCACCATTTTGATCGTATGTCATAAGCTTTTATGAGTTCCCAGCCGATTTCTTCTTTTCTTATCCCCGGATTAGGCTATGTTCTAGCTATTGTTCATTGCTTTCATGATTCTTCATGATTCCATTCATTTCGTTTTTCGTGATCCTTCATGAGCTATCATGAGTTTTCAGCCACATTTTGTTTTATTTGATCCCCGGGTTTGGCTTCGCTCCATTGCGCCAACCACTTGTTGTTCATGCCTATAGCCTATTTGTTCTTTATCTTCAAATTTCGTTGTTGATTCCTACTTGCTTTTCATTCCCCATTCGTCCCTCGAATCCTGCCTAATAAATTCGGTAACGCCTAATGCAATTCTGACTCGGTTTCTGATCTAGTTCTTCAGAAGCCCCCCTGCGACAGCATTTGAACTTCCAAGCAAAGAAAAGGTAATGGACAGATGTTGGTCATGAACTTCTCAGTCAATGACAAGTATCAGGACAGCAGTGTAAGCTTTCAACAACTCCTAGGATGATGAGCATGGGGGCTTCGCGTCTCCTGGCCGCGCCCTTTGCGCGAGGCACTGTTGCCACACTGGGTCGTAATGGCTACGGTGTGTTGCAGCTCAGAGATCATTTGAGAACCTTTTTTTTTGGGGCTTGCGCGAAAGACAAATGTGATTACAGTCGGTGAAAACCCAAGAAATAAAGATATGTCACTAAAACACCACCTGGCATGCTCAACATTGTATAGATCTTCGGTGGCAACGTCTGTTAATGCCCTTTACCGTTGTCTTATAGGATGCACTAAGATAAAGTCGGGCTCAAACTTCAGTTTCATTCGCTTTCGCCTTCTAAAATTCTACGTCCGATGCATTTGCAAGAATCAGAGCAGCCTGTACGCAGTCTGTATGTACGCTATGTATAGATAGGTTGGCATCTGTAATTCCCGTGAGGAACTGCTTGCGCCTGTACCAGGGCTCACGGCCCTTGTCTATATTCCCTACAAGTGAGGCAATTCTTCGTCACGTTGATGGGCTTCTATGGCGTTTGGCTGCTAGGCTGTGCTTGGCAAGGTAGCTTCCCTTCTGCTTTGATACTAGGGATTTCGAAATTCAGGAAGCTTTACTCACGCGATAGAGAGGCTGCGCAGGGATTGAAAGCGTTCCATCGGAACGAATTGGAGGAACACACTGCGCTGCAACGATCGTGAAGCAGCAATCCTTTCTGTCGAAGCACGTCGGGCTTCTCTGGGATGATCATGACAGGTTGTGGACAGGCGTATTGGTATCTATTACTCAACGCTGGAGGTCCTGGATACCTAACCATAAACTACAGCAGTGATAAGGCCGTCTCATGCCTCGGCCCCATTTCCGTTGCTGACACCCATGAACTACTTGCTGCATTCCTTTGGAATTGATGTGCGCAGACTTCTGCCGGCAACGTATCAACTGCTGAGAACTGGATGGCAGTGGAAAGCTCAAATCAGTACTGTATGTGGCTTCCTGATCATCATTCTTCAAGGCAACACGTTCAATATACAAGTATAGAAACTCTGGAACCCCATTTAATCCATTTCCAGCCTGCATGATGCTGTCTATCATAACTTCGGGGTGCTTCACGGTTTCAGCGTCGCTCCATTTGAATCCATGGTTCTGTTGTAGGTGCGTTTTCTGTGTGTGGGTAGCTTGGAGAGCGCCCAACAAATGTCCATGACGCTTTGGCCTCAGCGCGGATTTTGAAGAACAAGATGTTTCTGTGCATACGCCATCAGGGGCTCACTCCAAAGCCTTACCACCAGAGTTCACAGAGCGTTTCTGGTGGGGTTCGCGAGGTTCATGGGACTACGCCTGAATTCTTGAAGGTTTGTAGCACCCTTCGGGGGGTATGGCGCCAGCGAACGCTGTTTGAGGGTTCGTTGAACCACGTTCCATATCATTTAGCATGTAAGGAATATTTGGAATGACGGATGGCCAGAGACTTAACAACCTTGCTTCCTAAGTTCTGTAATGCATTTGCCTTCTTCGTGCATTCTTGGATCCCATGATCCCAGCGGGCAGGGTTTCAACATCAAAGGCACCTACCCCAGGTCCGCGGCCCACATAGCAAAGCAAGAGCTTCAAGGGATGTAAGATTTTGCTCCAGAGGACCTTAAGTGCAAGAATTTGTTATGAGCGTTGTAAGCTGCTTGGGAAAGGATGACCTTAGTTTGAGTCCTGAAAAAAGGATATACTGATTTTCGGGCCACAAAAATAGGAGCCAGACCCCAATCCTGATAGATACCAGCTGAGGAAGATGCATTGTGCTGTTGCGCGGCGGCGCTGATCTGATCTGCTTCTCTGTATAAAAGACAAGACGTGCTCAGATGCCGCATGATGCCTCCATGGTCTGCATGTCGTCCAAGTTTCTCATCATGGGGACAGATTCCTTGCTCGAGTCATGCAAACTCGCTTAGTTGTCGCTGACAATGAGCTCGCTTAAGTAGTGGAAGCCACATTGCAGACTGAGAATGGAACGGGGGCTACCCATAATCCTCGTAGTCATAGTCACTTCGCACGTCTAGGAAGTTCATGCGCACTTTGACGTTTTAGTCCGATTTCTTCAAGGATGTTTTCCCCATTAAAGGTTACTGCTATTTGCGGGACCTCCTTGGTTTCCTGGAGATTACACGGTCGTTGCCATCTGCTGAAGCTTACCCATAACCATAGAATCAAGCAGAAGTGAGCATTCAAGATTGGCTTAGGAAGTCTCTCATGGTGGTCTGATTAACAAATTGAAGATGCAAAGCCTGCTGCGCTAGCGGTCTTGTAATTTACGGCAGGCGCGGTTTTTTGAATTGTTTTCAGGCACAAGATACGAATCATGTCGGCGCTTGTGTGTACCATGTCTTGTCTTGTATCATTTTGCTAGCAGTCCTGCCTGCACTTTTGCGACTGCTATTCGTATGTCATGAACGCCTCCTATACGAAGAGTATCCTTCACAAGCAGCGCAACTCAAAGCAAGGTGCTAAGATCCTTGCAGGATTTTTCGCAAGCCTTCTGGCAATCCTTGTAATCTCTAAACACATGCTCGCGTATCAGCAGATCCTGTTCTGACATTTTCATCTCCCCGACATGGCAAACCGTGCAGGCTGAGCTATATAAGGAGTCTTGACTTGGCAGTCTGAAACTTGCCGTGGCCATCGCAGCTGCTGCCATTATCTCTACCAGTTGACATTGTCTCAGTGCTCCAAAGTCGTTTACTGTAGGGAGTATTTTTGGGTTCGGTGCGGAGTTTGTCACGCCGCCAGAAATGGTCCGGCCTCGCGAGAGCAGTTGCGATGATTACCCTCGCGTCCTCAAGGGTTGGCTGTCAGAGACAGATGTTGTGCCTTGCGCGTTCCTGGTAAGTGTTTTGATTTGAACTGTTCCTGTAAACAGTCAGGAGCGGCAACATGATAGTTCACTAATTATTCGAGATGTCCCCAACAGACCGAAGGCGCATTTGAAGCAGATATACAAGACTACCGTGGAGGAGGGCTTCGCAAATCGAAAGGAGCGGAATAGGCCAATCCAGTATTACGATCCCTGCGTGGACTTGGAAATGGTTGCGAGTTTTCTGAATCCCAACCCTTCCATAATGACATGCAGCTTCAAGTCTGAAAAGCTTACAAGCCCTAGGATCTGCTTCGTTACATGCACACATGCCAACCTCATGATGTTCGCCTTCAAGAGATTATCGAGAAGATCCATCAGCAGGCGAGGCTTGCTCAAAATGATGGTCATAATTCGGGTGAAATGACATATGATCACTTCAGAACATGCAGCTTCAAGGCATACCTAGCAGACCTAGAATATTTGTGCGCCACAAAAATTGTAGTAGAAAGAGTTGATAGGATCCGGGCATGTGCGCAGTGTGCTGGGAGTTCATTTTGGGCAATAGCCATGCGTGCGCCTGATAAACAAAGGATTGAACTACGCATCCTGTGCATGGCATTGCGGGCCTTTGTGTTCAGCTATCTGCTAAAATACAAAACAATTGGTGGATGAGGTTGAAGAAAGCCGATCAAAAAAACTCGGAGGCCTAGATGGCCCATGAGAATACAAGCGTTGGAGTGTTAGTAATTATCAGCCAGGTGCTGTATAGGAGCCAAACAGACTTATGATTCTCGGAAATCTAACATTGTTATGGTGCAATTAGTATGCTTCCGAAGCGATATCGAAAATGTAGGCCTCGATATGAGCCAGTTTACACTGCGCTGTTTTTGGACTAAGCTCGCCGCGGGCCGTGTTTTTGCGCAGCCAAAGAATGTCGAAATTTCGTCCACAAAGTCGAACAGTCAAACAGTTTACTTTCGCAACAACTTTCACTTTTTGACTTTCCACTGCTGACGCTTCAGCCTACAAGTTACAAACATCACTTTTTGCAAGAACTTGCAACCTTTCACAAGCAAAGTGTCGGTTTTCAACTTTGCAGGCACTTTTCGCAGAAGAACTCTAACGTCGCGGCTTTCGGGCACAAACACAAAACGTACCACATCTTGAACACAATCATTCCGGAACACGTTTCACTTTCTGGGCAGTTTTCGCAAAAGCTGACTTTTCGCCAAGAGTATCACTTTCAACTTTCGCAAAAAGTTTCACTTGTCATACAAAGTTCAGCCTTCGACTTTTCGAGCAGTTTACACCAAAAAGCTAGCTAACTTTTCAGCTTGTCGGGCAAAAAGTCAACAAGATGACTTTTTGCAATTTGCAAGCATTCTATGGTTGTACTTCTGAAGTTTTCGGGCAGAGACTCAAAACAACGGTTTTCACAGAACGTCCACTTTCCCTTAGACATGGCAGTTATGAGGACCAACAGCGGCCAGAGCGTAATTGAAGCTAAACCTTGCACTTGCCCTAAAATCTAAGACACTAAGCCCCAAACCATGCAACGCAAACCCGTGCTGGGCACAAATTCCCTTCTACTGCTGTAGTAGTAGTAGTAGTAGTAGTAGTAGCAGCAGCAGCAGCAGTAGTAGTAGTAGCGGCAGCAGCAGCAGTAGTAGTAGTAATAGTAGTAGTAGTAGTAGTAGTAGTAAGCGCCACGAGTGCTCGAGACTAGTTGCTCCCTGCTTCGAACATGGCTAGCGGACTGACCCCAGCACGTCATATTCTGATCCGGGCACGAGAAGTGCTTTCTGAACAGTTGGCGTTAGAAGGAGTTACCGAATTGGCAAGAGTTCATGCAGACAGCTTGGCGGTCCAGTACTGGGAAGGTTCAACCACAGACTGCTTCCTTCAGGAACTTGGAGAAGTCCTCCCCCTGGAGTCATACTGTGAAGTCCTGTCCTTCTGCCGTGCACAGTACCCCTTGCTATTTGCCACTCTGCCAACCGATATCCGATCTTTGTATGAGCAATTTCAAAGGGCTCAGCTCAGTGCCATGTGCAGTACAACTTCCAGGCAGCAGCAAGCTACAAGCATGGGAGAGAAATGACACCCACTCGTCTCGGTCCCAATTCCGAGCGCATCTTCATGGAGGTGCAAGAGCAGAACCGCACTTAGACGCCGGCGTGAGGGTTGACGGTACTACCTCTGGTCCGTCTGGAGCCGATTCGGCGAACAAGGGGGGACAAGGCCGACGAGATGGCCGCAAGATAATGTCGCGCGTTGGCAAGCGATCCTTTAAGAGGGCTGTTGCTCGCGCGAAGCTTAGTGGACAAACTTTTTACAAAGGCAGAATTCTTTATCCTAACATGCAATATGCTCGTGTACCTCGAATTCATCATTCTATGCAGGAGCCGCGAATACACGTCCTCAGTTGGAATGCGGGAGGACTTTCTTCAGAGGGCGCCGCTGAGTTCGAGCACTTTTTGAATTCTTCACAGTATGCCGTAGCGCTTGTGCAAGAAACACATTGGTCGACAAGCGGTGAGTGGAGCAAGGGAGACTGGACCTTCATTCACAGCCCTTCGAAACGTGCTCGCCAGGACGGTGTTAAGGTGGTGCTCCGCACATCCATGCTAACTTCAGCGGAGGTCTCATGGCAAGAGATCATTCCCGGCAGGCTCCTAAGGGTCAGGGCTGTGATCAATCATCAGCAATGGGAACTCTTTTCCTTGTATCAGCATGCTATGTCTCCTGGGAGTGCTGAAGAAAAAGCTAAACTCCTGGCAAAAAGAGATGAGGTTTGGCGGAAGCTTGATAAGGCAGTTCACAGCATACCTCTGCGCTCAATGATTCTCTTGGGAGGGGACTTCAATACAAGTCTTAAACCTCAGCCCCCCAATGTTGGGTATGGTATCATTCAGGGAAATGCCGCAGCGGACTTGGAGCAGGAGCGCCTTTTCATTAATGACATTCTGGCAAAACATCGGCTTGCGGTTCTCAATAGCTGGGGTCGAAGGCAGCCTACTTATGTGCATCCTACTGGCAGCACTCAGATTGATTTTCTTGTGGTGCGACAGCAAGCCGCGGATGGAGTTGCGAAGCAGTCTGGGCCTATCAACAGTGGGCTTGCTGGCTGGCGCCACTCAGGACATGCTGTGTTGACTGGAAAGCTACGAATGCACTGGAAGCCATGGCAGGAAACCAGCAACTCGGTGAGTAAGCAGCCTGCAATGACTGTGAAAGACCCGAGAGAGAAGGCACTTGTTGATCTCCGACAAAGTGTCAAGCAACAGTGTCCTGGAAAAGCTCCACGGCAGCGACTGCCGCCCCTTGCAGGCGTCACGCAAGAGATTGAATGTCACTGGCGACTGCGAAAAATGTTGCGGGAGATTGGCGGCTCTGCGACTCTCAAGCAGGCGTTTAGCGCCCTGCTGCTCAATGCAAAAGCGCAGAAAGCTCATAGGGAGCTTAAAAGAGCCTGCCTAAGACGAAAGCGTGAGAGGCTTCTACACGGCCTACGTCAGATCGAAGACGCTTCTTCGAGGGGTGACAGCAAGTCTTTTCATTCCTTTGTCAAGCTTGTTTCCCAAGCCCTTTGTCCCTAAAATCAAATTGCGTGATGAATCTGGCATGACAATGACGAGATTCCAAGAGGGTGAGGCACTGAAGAAGTATGCCACAAAATTGTTCGATGATGAGAGGGCTGCTCTGCCACCTTTGGTTCCTGTGCCGGCTGAGTTTCTTGCGAGACATCGTTGGGAGTGGGCCATTATGCGGATTCGTAGTGGCAAGGCGGTCCCTGCAGGATCGGCTCAAATTGTTACTTGGCAGAGCTCTACTGCTGATGTGGCCCACAAACTGGAGGCCATCAGCACTGAAATGCTTTGCAGTTCTAGTCCTGTCATTCCCAGTCTCTGGACACGTGTGCAAATTGCTTGGTTGCCCAAGCCTGGCAAGACTCCGAGTTGTCCTGAGCACTTGCGTACCATAGGGCTGATGGGAGTAGACACGAAGGCTTTCGTGATTCTCCTCAAGTCTGAAGCGCATCCCTACATCATGAACATGCTTCAGCACACGCCTCAGTTTGCGTATCGCTCAGGAGTTAGTACGCTGGATGCCATTTTGCGTGTTGGGCAGCATTTCAGTGATGTTCGGAGAGACATTGAGAGTACTTCGACTTCACATCTTTCTAAACTACTTGGTGATCAAATCCCGGAGCTAATTGGAGGGCTGGCGATCAGTCTCGACTTGTCAAAGGCTTTTGATTGCCTTCCCTATGCGGAGATGTTTGAAGCGATGGCTCACGCAGGCATGCCTGAGTACCTCATTAGGCTCATTCTTCAGGTGCATGCTCAGTCGGTTTGTGAGATTGTGCACGGCAACTACTCTTCAAGTGTTGAGATGAAGCGCGGTCTTCGTCAGGGTTGCCCAATTGCGCCTCTAATATGCTCTGCCTGGACAGCATTGCTTTGCAAGCGTCTTGTCGATGCTCTGGGTGAGGGATGGGATACAAACACCATTACACTCTACGCTGATGATAAAATCCTCTGCTGGCGTATCCGGAGTATCCAATCTCTTGAAAAGGCGTTGAATCAGGTCGGAATTGTACTTGATCTTCTCTCCAGAGCCAAAATGAAGGTCAACATCACCAAGTCAGAGGCCCTCCTACTTGTCCGGGGACGCAAAGCTGAAGAGGCAAAGCGCAGATTCATCAGTACTCGAGGAGGGGAAGATCACTTGCGTGTGCAAGCTACTGGAAACAACCGCTACTTTGCCATCAAATCGAAGATACGTTATCTCGGAGTGATTTTCTCTTATGGCTCTTTTGAGCACCAATCTGCAAGCTTTCGCAGTGGCCAGGCTAAAGCAGCTTTTGGGCAGCTCAAAGGAGTACTTCGGACAGGCGCATGTCTCTCCAAGGCGGATCGATTGAGGGTCTACAGGGTCTGCGTTTGGACTGTCCTTGAATATGGGCTCATTGGTGTTGGCTTCGACAGGCGTTCGCTTGACTTAGCCTGTTCAACGGTTGCGCAGCACCTGCGTAAACTTCTTCGGATATATGAAAAGGGTGTCTCCAATCAGAAGGTTTTTCTGATGGCCGGCATCGATCCTGCAAAGCTGTTTCTAAACCGCATTGAGAGCAAGCTTGCTATGATGTCTGAGAGCGCTGGGACAACCCTACAGGCAGTTCGAGAGCGGCTTGTTCACATACGGGACAATCTCAATGCCGTCCTTGAGGCGGGAGACAGCAGCATCACCCCTCACGTAGCTGAGAGTGCAGTCTCTTGTCCGGTTTGTGGACTGTACTTCACGAGCGACCATGGCCTCTGTATGCACATCAAGAGCAGCCACTCACAGGTACACGATGACTCCAGAGTGCTGTTTGT